AGACAGACAGACAGACAGACAGACAGACAGACAGACAGACAGACAGAGAGAGAGAGACAGACAGAGAGACAGACAGAGAGACAGACAGAGAGACAGACAGGACAGGACAGGACAGGACAGGACAGGACAGGACAGGACAGGGACAGACAGGGACAGACAGGACAGACAGGCAGAGAGACAGACGCTCCGTCGCGCGGGGAACTTTAATAGCGCAACGCGAGGTCGAATCTGACACGGACCATGTTGTGCGAGTCGAGTCCAAGCGAAGCAGGAATGCAAAAACTAACCTGGAAAGGAAGCCCGGCCTAGTCAACTGTCCTACGTAGATCCAATAAACCAAATCACAAGACATCTCCAACTTCCTCGTCAAGTCAACTGCCCTACGGCCCTATGGATTGGCCTTTGAGCGCAGGAAGCTTCCAAACGCCCAACCCTTTGGCTGATCAAGCCTTCGCCCAACCAAAATTGAAATCCCGACATCTTCCGAACAGTGTGACAAAGTGAACATGACCAAACCCGCACCACCCGCACCAGCCCACATACATGTTCAAATGAGAAACCAAGCACCATCTCAACAGCCCTACCATCTCACCAAAGCAACCAACGAAACATGGAACAGACAGCATCCAAGCCAAAGTGTGACTTTAACAAAAACGCAAGCCTTGTGGAAGAAGACCGGTTTGAGTGCTCGCATGGGCGGGGTCTCCTGACGCGCAGCGCATCGCACCGAGCTCCACTATCGCTAGGCTGAAAAAACATCGCTGGCTGGGCGCTTTGGGAAGCTGATGGAAGTCGTCTTCGTCCGAAGAGGGCACCCAGGAGGGACCCAGGAGGCACCCAAACGATTGTTTCACACAGTTACGCAGTCAATGAAAAACGGCAGGCCATTGGGCCATCCCCCCAGCCACGACTCTAGTGGAGGGAGCCAGCTGAAGTAGAACAATTGGTCACTGGTCTGCTTGAAGTCCGGGGGTCCTGAAATCCATATCCAATGGTCCCAGGCATAAGTAGTCTAGTGGGACTATTGGAAAAGGATTTACAAGTGGGACAAACTATCCAGTCGTCCACTATGGCTTGGCCAGTGCGATCTACAAGTCTGTCACACTCGGCTTGGGTTTTGCGTCGCGCCTTTCGCGGGAACTTGTGGCCTCACAACCACGGGTCCGGGATTCTCCACGACCGTATGCATCTATGATTTAGCACTCTGCCCTCCCTAAGCTTGAACGTGTCCTTTCTCGAAAAGTTCAGGATTAAGCTACCTAAGTGCTTGGAATAGTGGACTACGTACTCTGTTAGGCTTTGTATGGGTATGTTGATCCTTCCAGGCTGCCAAGCGTATTGTTGCTGACGGTTTCACGCGAGACGGGCGCCGTGCGAGCCCGCACTGCGCGCCCTTACCGAAAGCCCGGGGTGTCGAGCCTCTGCCGCTGCAATTGCTGCGTGCCAGGAGGCGCGAGAACACTGGCCCCACCACTGCCAGAACTCCTGGCAAGCGGCATCCTGAAACACAAACGCACTCGAGCGTGCTCGCCTGGAGCTCGTACAATTTGATCATCACCTCACCACAGTGCTGTTCCAAAGTCACATACAAATGATGTCACATACCATACTAGTAATGCTTGTTGCTACTACCAATGCCCTACTCACAACTCACACGGCGTACCCAGCCTTGTCCACGAGCTTGTGCTGCTCGTAGCTCGACAGTGACATGTCCTCAGTTTGACTGCGGAATATGTAACACTCTTGTTCGAATGGACATGAATAAAAAGGACCTAGCTAAGAGCGCGACTGCAGCGCACGCCATTCTGCGCAGTCTATTGGAGTTGCGGAGATAGCCTGAAGTCAAGCGCAAAAAGCTTTTTTGGGGGATTCAAGCTTGGGGGAAAGGCCTATTTGAGAGATGATGTGGCTCACCAGCCCAAGTGCAAAAAATCTAGGCCCTAGGTTTCGGAAAGTATTGGTTACTACAGAACATGAATGGATGCTAACATGTTCATGTGTTCTTTGTTTTGCTGTGAGCACGTCGCCTCGTCTTTGGCCTGCAGTTTGACAACTACCAAGGTGCGAACGGTCTTGGACTGGGACATGGTGTGCAACAGCTTTGATGAACCATCTGCACGAACAACAAACATGAGATGATAGATCAAGAAGGGAGATGAGATAGAAAGGATACATGATGGGGAGCGAAGAACATCAAAAGAGGATCGATTACAATGAAATCTACTTTGAGGCAATAGCAGGTGCATCTAGTGCATTCATTCATCAAGGTTGACTGGTACCACCATCTGCAACCACAGCATGCTTTCGTCACAGAGCCGCCAGTGCTTTTATCCCAGCGATTCGCCAGTCGGCTCCCCCACGGATCTGCACAGCTACTGCTGACTCCACTGGAAGAACATTATTGGCAAGTTCGTACACGTGGTCAAGTTCGTACACAGACCAGAGACGCGGTTTGTGAAGAGTCCTCGTCCCCAACCATGCAGATCCATCCCAGCCATCCACAGTCGCACCACACACAGACGTAGACTTGTGGCATGACAGGCGTGAACGGCGTGCAACGCGATCCATGATCACATGGATCACAGCAACCAGTTGGCAGTTGGGTTCTTTGCGCAAAGAGTCAACAAAGAAAAACGTAGCAGCCTTTAATATGGACTTAGAGAGAAGGAATGGATAGGTGTGATAAGCTGGCTGGGGGTGTTGCCATTCCTTTCTTCACTTCCAGCAGGTGCTTCAAAGCATGAATTCTTATCCTGCATCCTCACACAGCCACCTGACATTGTTGCACTTTCCGACATTTTAGCTCCAAAATTATGAGGTTTGATGTGTGCAACACAGAAGCTTCAACGGAAGCTGCTGCCATCAAGGGCCATGATATTTATGATTTTATGACCGATTCTACCACATGCCGTATACTAATTACGTACATCGTCTATCTACATAATTGAGAGATGCCACTGGACCAGCCTTCCGCCAGCTTCGCCAGCCTTGCTCCCTGGCCGTCACGATGGCAGCGTCATCATGCACTGTAAGTGGTAATGACCATGGTGGTGATATCACGGGGAGGACCAGAATAAAATCCACAGGAAGAACATGAGGATGACGATAATGCTACATTGTCAGAGAGCCAGGGCTCAAAGGACATGCTCGAGTATCAAATGATCCCGCAATGTCCCACACCATGAAAAACCAAAAAGGGGGATGGAAAAGGCTGAATGGACCTTCGCTAGTGCGTGGTCTGCAAGGACCAACGAAAACAGTGCATTATGCATCACTTGCCCTTCGTACAACATGAACAAACCCATCAACCAGCGGCAAACATGTGGGTCTCGATTAAGGGGTATGCAAATAACACACTGTCAATTCTGCATGCCAGAAGCACCGCAGCTGGATCCGCAACGCGAATATTGCGGAGCTGACCCAGCGTGGAGCATGAGAAGTTCAGTGCGCCGTGACCCCCCGAAAGGCTCGTCCGAATAAGTATAGTATATTGAGCTCAAGAACACTCCTGGGAAGCTTGCCGAGCACGCCGAGAAGCACTGATCTTGATTCTTGGTATTATCTCTGCCCCAGATACAGTCCCTAGTGAACCCCAAACACCATCCTAGCTGCCTCTTGGACTATCAAAATACTGTCTGAATCTACGCAGGCTTTCAGGCAGAGCTGTCCCACATTCCAACAAAACCGCTGAATAGCATCGTAACTCAGAGCCCAATCAGAAAGACATCATACCGTGGTCAAGAAGGCGATTTAAGGAACATTGAGGGCATGCGGCATAAGGAAACATCTTCATGACAAGGGCTGCGTCATGCAGGTGAAGGGGGTCATGATGAGGATGCCCGCAACTGCAAGTACCCTGCTATACCCTGTGTCTTTCCCAATGTTGTTTCCGTATCTATGTGATTGTTTCCCTGAAGACGGAGCCTCTAGCTCCATCAAGGCACCTTGTGACAGGTCTCTTTTTAGCTTTTCTGGAGAATGTGCTTTGCCATGCTTTGCCTAACTATGCATGAAAATTGCATCAAATGGCACTTTCGAAGGCATTCATTGATTGATGACTTCTATAGAATACCGCGTGCACCGTATATCTCGCATCTTCTTGCGTTCTTGGGGCCGTCAGCATTTTACCTCGCTGGGACTCGCGCTGTTGCCACCCTCGTCAATGTAGCGTCTAGGGTAGGGCGAGGGACATTTACACGCGAGAAGGGCACCGTGCAAGCCCACGCTGCGCGCCCTTACGGTAAGCCCGGCCTGTCGAGCCTCTGCCGCTGCAATTGCTGCGTTCCAGGAGGCGCGAGAACGCTGGCCCCGCCACTGCCAGAACTCCTGGCAAGCGCTGTCCCCTGTTCTGCTCGTCCTCTGTATCAATGCGCTATGGTCTGACACGCAATCCTCTCATGCATCACATAAAGTGTCTCAGGTTGCACCCCAACAAGGCGCATACTGAACCCTCACGTCTGCCTTGGCTAGTTGTTTCGGTGGATTTTGACCATCACAGCCTCCGACTCATGGGGTCCCCATTCCAAGGGGAAAATTGAAGCAGTATATGTGCCCCATTCCAAAGCATCCCAAGGCCCAAACAAGACCAATGGGATTGCCATACAGTTGCCGTTCAGTGGGGAGGGTTGGATCAGCGTAATTACGCATATATAGGATACATATACCATACCGTGGAGTGCCTGCGCTATGGAAAAACAAAGCCAAAACCGTGAAAAACATCTGATGCACGCGAGCTGCGCATCTCCTTCTGCTCTTGCTGGGAGCTTTGCCGACATTCCGTCCGCTCCTGGCACGCAGAAAATTGATGCCGCCACGTAACTGGACTTGACTTGGCGGGGAAAGCACTGCAATGAGTCAACACCCATGAGGCCGCGAAGAGACCCGCAGCACTGTGCAGGTCACAGCACAGGGTCTTCCACAGCTGTCTCAACCAGCCAGCCCATCTGCACCCAAATCCCAGCCACTTCGCGCCGAACACCGACCATCACAGCCTCCGACTCATGGGGCCCCAATTCCAAGGGGGAAATTGAAGCAGTCGGAAAACTCCGAGCGCTTCAATCTGTTCTCCTCTAGGGGGGCATGCTCATGGGTAGCTTGATCCTGGTTTGGGGCATGGCCGATTGAAACATGGATGCAGCCAGTGACAAACTCGGAATGCTTATTGCCCACTCCTTTCGAAGGCGCAGCTGCCTTCTCACCTTCCAAGAGATGGGTTTGGTGCATTGCTGAACGCCACATGGTACTAAAGTCTGACTGACATTTGCACGGTGGGAAATCAACACCAGCCCACATGCCTTTTTTAGTGCTGCTTCAAGGTTTGCAGCTCTGCCTGAGCACCACTGCATAGCGCAACCACTCTTGATTTCAAGTTGCATAGTGCAAAACAAGTCTAGTTTGATCTGGGCATCGCGACGTTCTGCGGTGATCGCCCTGTCCTGAAGCACTTAGTGCGAAGCCGACTGAAAGTATAGCTTTGTTTTGTGGCATGCATTGTCACAAACGCTTCTGCCAAACAACTAAACGACGGATGGCCCGAGAGCGGCGTAAGGCATGCTTGCGTGATGATGAAGCTGTAGAGCAGAGAGAGGTGGGAGAGTGAAAGAGAAGGCAAAAGAGAGTGTCAGCAAAGGATGGGATGAAAAAACAAGTTTAGAGGGGCAGCTTTACGGGATGTTAGGCACTGCCCCCAAAGTCTTACAATCGATTGCTACGCAAGTTTACTCGCAGTTTCGCAATATACGAATGTGTGGGTTCAGGTCCTGCCCCGAATGGGTCTGACAGTCGATACTGACGCAGGTTTATGCCAAGCTTTTGCAATATATCTGTGGATTCAGGTGGTGTGCCAGAGAAACGATGCAAGCATGTAAAACAAGCCTCCTGGGTACCGCCAATCATCCCGCTCCCCAGCGACACGCCACGTTTGCACCAGCATGTTTTCCGTCCCCCAATGGCACAGACATGCTGACAAAATGCACTTCCACTGAGGCCGAGGCCGCGCCAAACCGCATGGAGAGAGAAAGATAATACTTACGAAAAGAGAAGGAGAAAGAGAGAGAGAGGGAGAGAGAGAGAGAGAGAGAGAGAGAGAGAGAGAGAGAGAGAGAGAAAGAGAGAGAGAGAGAGAAAAGGAGAGGGATATGCAGATGTGAAAATGTGCATGTCTGGATTCTGGATATCTGCAGGTGTGAAGATGTGCGTGTGTGAATATGTGTGGATGTGAACCTCTAGCTTCCAGCGCTTGAAAAAAAAATAGCTTGAGGTTCACACCGGCAATTCATACTTTTACTATCCAGTAACCAAAACACATAAATCTACTATATTTCGATCGCTTTGAGGAATTATGTGCCCTGTCTGTTTGCCAGCCCAACCTCAGCCATTCTCATCCACTTTCGCACTTTTCCCCTTTTACCGGCTGTGTGCTTTGGGTGGAGGACAGCATCCATCATGCGTTGATCTCATTACCCTGGGCATCAGATATTGATCCTAATCAATATTCTTGAAAAAATCAACAATTTCTATTGATTTGGGCGCGTGCTTTTTCAATAGAAATTCTTCCTCAAAGCCAAGCAAAAATCAATAGGAAATTCAATAAACAGCAACATGGTCAGCTTGATCAAATTTGATCAAATTTGATCAAAAACCAGCCAAATTTGATCAAATTTGATCAAAAACCAGCCAAATTTGATCAAATTTGATCAAATTTGCTTTTTCGAAGCTGCCAAGAAATCAATACCGGAATCAATATCAAAATCAATATGATTTTCAATTTTTTTGGCAAATCAAAAATATTGATATTTTTTCGGTTTATTGATTAGGATCAATATCCGATGCTCAGGGTATGTCTTACTGATCCAAGTCCTTGGGCGAGAAGACCAGCCAGGACCATGGACTTCAGGAAACCAACGGTTCAAAGATGTTCGAAGGCTAGAGCGGCTAGATCAACAATGAACGTTTGCACGCACATGCATGCTGGGGTCTCCATGGTGCAGACTTTGTTGCAGGTGACGGCTGTGGAGCACTAATCTAGCCCAGCTCTGCGCTGCTTGTATCTGTGCCTTTCAAGTGGAAAGAAATCCATGCAGATTGAACATCACTCCATATATCTGCTGTAATCGATCGGGCTCCTAGGTTTTCAGCACACCTGGGGTGATGACCACCGAGCTAGCCAAAATACCGGGTTCGCTGTCAGATGCTTATGGCAGTGTGAGTTTTGGAGTCTGCGTGCGGCTTGTGTTGCTGCAGGGTGCCGCTGCCATGGTGCTGGACAGCACCACAAACATGCTTTGTTATCTGGTGTCTATTCTGACGTATTTTTACGAAGAACTCTTCGCTCAGGCGCTCTCGGGAACACATCGAAAAACAACCGCGGCATCCTGAAACACAAACGCACTCGAGCGTGCTCGCCTGCAGCTCATAGAGCTGAAACATCACCTCACCGCAGTGTTGTTCCAAAGTCACATACATATGATGTCACATACCATACTAGTAATGCCACTATCAATGCCCTACTCACAACTCACACGGCATACCCAGCCTTATCTACGAGCTTATGCTGCTCGTGAACACAGAGCCCATCCTGAACCTCAGGATCTATCCCCATCCGAAGCGGAGGCACTCTTGCTCGAATGGACATGGGTGAAAAGCACCCACCCAAGAGCGCGACTGCAGCGCACGCCATTCTGTTATTTTTAAGGCCTCCCTCCATTTGGGCTGGTATGGCCACGCGATGCTCAGGCTATTCAGGATGGAGAGAAACACAAAGATCCTGTCATATGAGTCTGCTTCTCCAGTCGCCTGAAGGTTGGTCTGACGATCTCCATATGATGAGGAGAAGATCTTTTTTTTCCTGGCATGGCCCATGGCCATCTTATTCTTTTCCATGTGCCAGGATTATTGGCCAAGACACTTTTGTCCAGAAGCCTCCCAATCAACGCAGGACGAGGAAGCTACCCATGCCTTTGTATGAATTCTGTACTCCAAGCCTTTGTTGACAAACTGTATTTCACCGGGACACTGTAAGGGAAGTCCTGTGTCAACTGATCATCGCTCTTGGAACGAGGCGTACCAAAACAAATGCAAACAAATGTTGACTGCTGATTGCGGGGTCAGGCAAAGGATTCAGACACACCACCGACATTGTCTGCAAGAGCTCATGAGAAAGGCGCATTCACACCAGTGATGAGTGTATCAGTGTATCAATCAATCAAACGTTGAATCCTTTGTTGTTCGCTAGGGTGAGAAAGCTCCGCAACCCAAGAAAGATATTGAATTTGTGAAGGCCGGAATTCATGTTGAAAATTAGTCAGCTTCCTCACAAAACAACTCCTGCGCAGGACCAACTACGGCATCTCACTGCGGAGACGATGGTTCAGGAGGTCGAGTCCATGGTCAGCCTGAAGCACATTTCACCAGTGGAAAAGCGCTACAAGATGGCAGCTATTTTGCTTAAAGGGCCTTGCAGAGCTAGAGCCACCAAGAGCCACCAGAGCTAGAGCCACTTCGGAGTTTCTGCGAACTAGAACTTGGAAAAAGTGTTTGCCCGAGGGATTCAAGCAATGTCAAGCAGTCTTGCTATGGCCGTGGTCTTGCAAGTATCTAATGAGCATCTACATCTATCTACAAGCAGTTCCCGGGCAAGCCGGCGGCGGAAGTTTCCTATAAAAACAATTTGACCTATAGGAATGCCCTGCGGTTGCATTCTCAACAAGTCGAGCTCGTGTCTAGGGCCTTTGTTGGAACAAGAAATGTACCAGTTTGACCCTTCGTTCCCTTTGATGTCTATTTTGGACTCATTGAAGGCAATGCCTGTGATGTCAGCTCAATCATTCTATTAGAAGTTGGGCCCATCAACACTGACACATTGAGCTGTTGCTAGGTAGAACCAATTACTTTGCAATTCCATTTGTTTAGTTTGGCAGCTCAATGCCCAACTCAAATGCCCAACTCAGGCTGCGAACCTAGGCGAGTATGTGAGCGCCATCTCCAACGAAGTGGATGGTTGCTGATCTCCAGCTGGCCTGGCAATGGCAGGTCGACTGAGCCCATCGACCAATCCCTCATGACCCTTACAACAAATAGCGGCCGGCTATACTCGAAGGCTTCGGCCATGTTTGTGATGGTTTCGGGGATTGAATTGAATCTGTGAGCGACCAAATGAAAAAGCAACCGTGCAACCCTCGCACGATTTCTCCATTGCGACACCCTCCATGGTGACTTGAATGCGAAATCCAAAGTCCCACACTCCCCCTGCTGGCAGTGCCAGCATCCAAAACGGGAGGTTCACCGGTAGGTTTTTTCGTCTACCGTGGGAAACAACATTGAAGCTCCCAATTGAATGGGAGTCCGAATCACTCACATCAGGCGGCTCACGTCGTCCAGCTGCCGTCTCACTTCCCATCCGCAAAGGTAAAGAATCAGCTTCTGGTGGTAGGAGATTCTCAGAGGCTAAGGCCCTGTTCCAGGCCAAGTAAGCATTTCCCCTCTTCGGATGCAGCCATCCAAGCGAGCCGCATAGCCGCTCCCACCCTCATACTCCACAGTGTCTCGTGCACTGATTTCCACAGGGTCAGTCAAACCCGGCGGAATGCCAGCATCATCATGCCTTCCAGCAGCCACAGCTCCACGCTCCAAAGCCCTGGATTGAAGGGGAGCGGAGCTAACATAGCCCGCTCGACCGTGTCGTCTCGCCCAGGAAGACTTGGAGCCACAGGTCGCTGCGCTGCCTCTTCCTGCAATCCTTGTTCATCATCATTGGTGGACTGCGAGATGAAGCGCACATAGAAAAAAACTGTATCCAACCCATTCACACACATTTTCAACATCACAATTGCGGGAGGCTGTCCAGTCGTCCGTCACAACCCTTCGGCTCCACGGCTGGCGAGTGCTCTCCCTGCTGAAGATGACTGACACCCTCGTTGTTGACATTCTCGAGATCATGAACGGTGTGCCACGGTGCAAAGGATGAAATGCCCTCACCCTTTTCTTTTTCAAAACTCTCACCCACCATTCGCCAGCCTCCGTGCCTGAGCCGAGGCATTCCCAGCGATCGGCGCCCGTCGGTGGGCTAGAAAAGCGCCCCAACTCCCATGGAGACTCAGATTCCAGTCCACGGTGAGCAATTGGCGTCCTCAGCGCGCACAAGCGCGCCCCACTTCCGCTCCATGGCACATGAGGCACCGCCGGATGGGTGCCGCGATCGACCGACGAACCTGCCTGCCTGATGTCCAACCTTTCTTCCTGGACATACCTCTGTGGGCCGGGTTCATTTTCCCTCGCCTCGACCGTCTTTCTTCAACTCTTCAGCTCCGTTAGACCTCCTTAGGTCCTTATGAACTGGTTCTCTGCCGTCCCAAAAGATCCACAGGCAGTGGAAGCTGCCAGCACTACGAGACCTACCAACGAGGCTACCTTGGCTGTACAACCTACTCCCGGAGCTACAGCAAGAAGTCCTAACGAGGCCATCACTGCGTAGGCGATCTTCTTGACAGGCGAGGTCACCGGCGCACAAGCTCCACCCATCGCCACCCGGAGACCCACTGCTCGGCGAAAGGATTCCCACGAGGACTGCTGGGCGATCGACTTCGTCAGCAGATCAGCACAAAGATCCTCCTCACATCGCCATGAGGCCTTGATGCCCCTTTCCACCAGCCGGCGCAAATGACGAGTCCGTCAGGATGTCGAGTCTCCCCAGGCTTGGTGCCCGGCCGTACTGATCAGCCACGGTTGAACATGGCCCATACTCAAGAGCAAGATCCACAGTTGCGGCCAAGTAGCCCAAAACATGTCGCGACAGCTCCAAAACACCCTTTAGCGCCTTCGTCACCTTGGCCCCCAAAAAGGATACGGCAAAGCTGAGGCCCGGTCTGGTTCTCGTTGCCAACCACAACAACTCACCTATCACTGTTTGACACTGCTTCACATGCTCGGAGCAGATCACCTCCTCCATTTCGAGGTCGACGACCTTGGGAAGCGGAGAGGACTTCAGAGGGCGAGGTCCTTGTGTCGGCTCACGATCTCCCTGGCATAGTCAGGCTGACCAACCAACAAGGTTTTGCCCTCCCACTTCATTTCGACTCCGCAAAACTTTCTCCACTCAGTATCAACCACCCACGTAGGCGGCGCACACTTCCAGGTCGAGGCCAATTTGCTAAGGAAGGCACCTGCCACTGGCCTCTGGCCCACGACAATGAAGTCATCCACATAGGATAGAGCAAAGCCCACTGTCCGGCCCTCCTCCATCACATTAACATAGTCATTCTCCCTGTGCGCAGCTGACATAAGCCTCCAGATTGGGCTCCGGAGTTGCGTTGATCCAGTAGTGAATTCCATCCTCCCACCACCTCATGCCCCGAAGAACATCATCACGATAGGCTTGCCAATCAGGAGGCGAGTTGTCCAGCCCATAAACCGCCGCCTCCACCACCCATCGAGTGTCCTTGGACATGATGCCCGCATCGACCAAGATAGATGGCGGTTTGGTGGCCATGAGGCGTGATGACTTCCTGGGTGCCAGGAGAAACGCCGAAGAGACATCGGCAATGCCAATTGCCCACTGTTCCTGAGCAGCCTTCCGAAGAGCACATCTCAGCGAGCTGCCATCTATTCCGCTGGCATACAGCTCAAAGGATCTCCCCGCTTGCTTCGAGCCTCCATCACCCCTGCCAGCATCCAGATCAGTACCCTGTGTCCGGGACTGTGCCGAGGTGTCTTCAACAAGGTTCTCGATTCGAGATCGCTTTTTTCCGTCAGGAGCCTTCACCGTAGGCACAAGCTTCGAGGGGACCACGAGCATCTCGCTGTAGCCGGGCTCATTCTTCAAATCCTGAACCTGAACAGGTCGCACAGCTCGGGTTGTCCTCTCAAGTGAGTTCACCTCATATGGTGTCCAATCCTTCAACTCCTTGGGAGGTGGCAATGTAGGCAACTCCAGGTTTCTCAAGGCTTCCGTTGTCGATGCCACCGAAACACCTTCTCCAATTTTGATAGGAGACATCGGATTCCCTCCACTCCCCGAGTGATGTGATAGTCCATGCAGGGGGCCGTTGAGGAAGACCATGTAGAGGAGGTTCACCTTCAGGTAGTCCTTGGGTCCCACTCGAAGCCGTCTTGTACGAGTTGGTGTCCCCGGTCTCCCGCCTGGTTCCCAGTCGCTTGAGCTCCTTCTCAAAGTTCATCTCCGCTTCCTTGAGGATGCGCATACGCAACGCTTCAACTTCATCCACTGCAGGCGAGAGTGTTCCCCTTTCTCCCAACGGAGGTCCTGTAGCCCCCGACAGTCGCTGTAGTTCACCTTGACGACCAGCACTCATTGTCCCAGCCCCCTGTCCATCCTGATAGAGAGCCACCTCCGTTCGCCATTGGCTTCCCACCATCCTGCCCGGCAGGACTCCAAAAGGGATTCATTGGAGCCGGTTGTTGTCGATCTGGTGTAGTCGCAGCTCCACCTGTGTAGTCCAGTGCACGGGGCACCATCGAATTTCGTGATTCAGGCACTCCCTCACGAGGCCAAGGCGCACCCAAAAACCCTCGGTCATCCCGGTCCAGCTCCAAGAGATAGAGGACCAAGTAGGCCTTGCCCTTGTCCTGGTATGTCCTGGTACTTGATGTAGTTGGCCATGTCCTTGAAGAGGACCCGTCAATGCCTGTTGCAGGGCCTGGTAGGTACGCTGCACAGCATCATGCAGAGCAGCCAAGCCCCCATGGACTCCACCGTCATCACCCGCACCTTGGGGAGGATGTTGAGGCACCGAGGGTCTCACTGATCTCAAAGAGCTCTCCCCCCGATGTGCCGCTTCCCGGCTATCCTCAAGAGGTCGCAGTGGGCGCAGAGAAGCAGGCTCTCCCCTTGGACCCTCCAGCGGTGGCGTGGACGATGATCTTCGCGGACCAGGGTCCAAGGACCTTGCCCTCTGCTCCTCCTCAATCAGAGCATCCAGGCGCCGGTCTGCTCCCCCCACCTCCAAGAGTTCCGAGCTGGCCTTTGGATCTGCCTTCGATTGCCGGCTCCGTCGGGTCAGCGCAGCATTGGACGCCATGGGAGCCAGCAACTTCTCCTACAGAGAAGGTGTTCTTTTCTAGATGTTTGGGCTCATAACCTGTGAGCGACCAAATGAAAAAGCAACCGTGCAACCCTCGCACGATTTCTCTCTCGAGCCAAAACGTGATTGGTCGAATTGACCATTGCGACACCCTCCATGGTGACTTGAATGCGAAAATCAAAAGTCCCACAGAATCAATATGAATCAATCATTCTTGCGCCCATGGAAACCTTGGCCCATGGAGGTGTTGATATTTGAGTCCAAGCGAGCTGCTCAGCTCCCATGTTCTCCCCATGTCTCGAAAGCAAGCTGCTATGTGTGGTGCTCCAGCTCTGGACCTTCGAAACACTTCTGAGCGTGAGCAAGTCCATGTGGCAGGCAATGCAACGTCTGTCCCCTGCGTTGGTGCTTTTCTACTTTGCGCCATCATGATGATGGAGCCCGTAAAGCGAACATGTTGAACCGTTTCCAAATTCGGCCTAATTAGATCGACCGCCCTGTTCGAACATGAAACGAAAAGAGACATTGCTTAGTACTGAGAATTGTGATTCATTGTTTTCATTGGAGTTGCAAACCATTTTGAGGTTCACATGCAACTGCGTGGATTCCAGAGAGTTTTGGACACAAACAAGTAGTGAGCTAGTGGCCTGAGCCCATGCTTAAGCGTGGGGAAGCACCTCCACACCTCCATCGGCAAAGGCTTCAAAGGGTAGCCTGAAACCATGGGCAAGCAAAATGCTGAACTGTGCTCAGCCCCATGGATGTACAGTAATAAGATTAACCTACACCATTTTGGACATGTTTGACTGTCTACAGCAACACCAACACTGTCTGTTTGTGGCCCTTAAGGAGATTTGACCTCATGTCGGATCAACATCCAGTTCAATGGCTTGTGGAAAGCTTGACACTGGAGGTCTACGCCCCCATGCATGATTGGCTAGAGCAAGTCATGGAAAACAACGACTGTATCACTTTGACTCTACTTTATCACCTTTACTCAACAACACTCTTATTATGATCCGCCTTCTCTAGCAGACTTCTAAGTGCACAACTATATCACCTTGACTCTACAAAACTCTTATTATGACCCGCCTTCTTCTCTAGCATACTTCTATGTGCACAACTTTCTCACCTTGACTCTACAAACTCTTATCATGACCCGCTTTCTTCTCTAGCATTCTAAGTTCACGAGCACCTCTCTATATTCTTTCCGAAAGAGTGTCTCGCGGAGACCAGTTTCCTTCTAGAACTTCTGATTATGACCTACCCTCCTCAAAAACTTCCAGATTCTAAAAACCATTAACAAAGAACTTTTTGATTATGGTTAGGTTTCGGCACCGTTAACAGCAACGACCACCGTGAGGACCATTTCCACAGCAGCAGGAACACCCGTAACAATGTTTAGCTTAGCCTCCTAAAGCCCAACTTTCAGTGCTCGAACCATGCCTGCTTGCTCGATGTGCATCGACGCTCATCCTTTGGCAGGAAAAGTAAGTTAAAGAAAAGGATTCCTGAAAGACCCTCGAAACAGTTAGTAAAGGATAAGAAACATTAAAGGGCCTGTGAGATATGCTGGCAAACATTGGGTTGGTAACAAAACAACAACGGTGGAAGGACTTTGTAAGAAAGCGGTGACCAAGCAGGACTTTACAGGATAGGGACATAGTACAACATGGGCAAGCAGCAAGCACGGATTGAAAAGTCCAAGCATGATACAAGCGGACTTGTTCTTACTGGGCGGAGCGCCGCTTCAGCACACGTCAAAAAATAACAACAGACTTCTGTTTGATTCGTTCTTACTGGGCGGAGCGCCGCTTCAAAGAAAATCAAAGCATATCCACAACTCGAAGTTAATTGATTTGTTCTTACTGGGCTGAGAGCTGCTTCCGAACAAATCAACAAGTAATCAGCACAAGTTCACTACAGTCGGTTGACACCCACTGCATTCATTCAGCAAACACGACCTGCTCTTGACATGGTTGGATACAAGGTTCCGTGAATTTCCGCGAAATGTTCTTCGGATATGGAAAAAATAACAAAGGTCCAATGTTTCATTCATTCACAAGGTAGGTTGGCCAATTGTTATTTGGGGCCTTTGCTTCTTCAAGAAAGCAACTTTCATCATGCTGTTTGTGTGACCAATAGACATCGAAAATGCAAGCACGGGCCGCGGACTCTTTCATGAACTTGTTCAACCTGAGTAATCTGTTTTGAATACCTGTTCCAGCATCTTCCATACACGTGGAAGAGAATCAATCGAAGCTAAAGTTGAAGTGGTGTTCATTTAAACTGTAAAAATCAGAGCAAAACTACAACTGTCTCATTGCCAAACAGCTATCCGATCTATCCATATCAAAGACCCCTTACCGACCCTGCTCTTCCATTCCCGAGCCCACCTCGTCACCGGTGAAAACGAGGCACAGTTGGCGCCTATCTTAATGGATGACAAGTCGATGCCAGGAGCCCCTAGTAGTGTCCTTGCTCCTAGTAGCGATGCCCTTTTGCTCCTAGTAGCGTCCTTGCTCCTATAGTAGTAAGGCCAGGAGCCCCGATCGTAGCTTCTTGTTACTAGTAGCGAACGAATAAACCCATTGATGTTGGGTCTATATCCTATTGGCCCAGTGGATGATGATAGTAAAGGCCTAGTGTGAGAGACACATCTACCAGTGAAAATTAGCGCACTTGACTTGGGCCAGAATCCCAATGAATCGTACGAGAGCAACAGCACAGGAAGCTTATGATCGCTGGTTCTGTTCTAAAAGCAACATGTGTCACTTCATTGTCACGAACGTCACAAACTCTCAACAAACCATGTTGTGCCGGCCTTGTTTATTTACCTTTCCGTTGGCATGTGGTCACATCAGGACTTACGGTGCACCTGGCGCCAAGCTCAGCTGGCCAAAGCACTTGTGCTTCGTGGGTGGTCAGCTGCACTCTTTCCTTCTACATCTGGGGGCAATTGTACATCTACGTTTGAGTACCTTGAAGCAGCAAAACAAAAGCAACAACTCTTTCCTTCTACCTTTGATGGTACTTTTAAGCAATACATCATACTTTCCTTTAACTTGCAAACCCGGAGTGTGACGCTTTGCTTCCCCCAGAACAAACATCTTCCGACGCCTTCTTCCCCTTCTTCTGCACCCATCATGGTGCCAAGCTTTCGCATACCACACTTTCGAGGCGCGTTTGAAGCCATCAGCCGTCCGTTCTTCCCAGTGCTTCCCACTTACAAACGAAAGTGCATCTCATCCTATTCCCCAAATGTTGAGGGTTCCCTTCCGGTTTTAAGAAGGTTGTGTCGTGACACTCTAGGTCTGCCATGAGCAAACCAAAGAAAAACAACGCGTCGGCCAGCCACGGGCCTATACTTGATCATTGCCCTACTTTTCCTGATTGAGCCCAAACCTTTTGAAATTCGCAAGGCCCACACCTTTTGAAACCTCGAAGCCGAAATCTTTGTGGATTTCCGCATTTGCCCGACGTCTTGACTGAAGGAATTTACGTTCGCCTCGACACCATGGCTCCTAGGGAGCACATGGTTAAACCAAAAAATCCGAGCTTTCAAGTATATCATATATCAATCCTCGGTTTCACCATGGTTCCAACCAGGATTAATTGAACAAATCCTATAAGCTGTGTGTGTCTTGATCATCCCGTAGCTCCAAAAGAGCTCCTGATCTTTGGGTCTGGTGGAGAGGTCTGGTGGCGTCCCCAAAAGACCGTCCGCAAAGACGCCTCGTCGGAGGAAACCGGCAAACATCGAACAGCGGTGTGGCATAAGTCAAAACATAGGGACGGTTGGCCTATCGAAGTGCCACCCAAAAATCACGGGGCATATGTATTCAGTATTATATGATATGCATATATATATATATATCTTTTGTTTTTGGAAAGAATTCGGATCTCAAAACGGCAATCGGGATTGACACTTGGGCGGAATCTGACATCGACGTCCATTTTTCACGCTTCCGCTTGAATGGTCCGCCCACAGGCTCGGCAGCCTTGGAGCAGCTGAACACGAGCAAAACCGCCACGCTGCGCGCAGTTGGAAACGGAGTAATTAATTGGACAGTGCCGATGGACAAATGTTGTTTTGAACATCTACATCTTTGACCCCTGTAACAAGGGAGGTTCCTTGACATGGTCTGGACCGCCAAGCTACACGTGAAGCGAACTTTCTGCTACACTCCGTTGGTTCCAAAACCGGATCCTTTAAGTACTACGTCAGTCCTTTGTTTGTGAGCAGAGCAACGAGAAGATCCTTCAGCCGGCACCAGGCCATCACAAAGATCGCAGCTCGAGTTCTCTTGCTTCGTAGCTTTGGTCCTTGGTCGCGACGAGCGACGAGCAACGGCGAGCAACGGCGAAGTTTCCACCGGTGCGTCATGTTGGCCGTTTCATCCCAAAAAGACCAGCCAAGGGGCATGCGTTTTCTTTTGCATAGCTGGAAGATCCAGGCATGATCTACCAAAGGTACTGTGTGCAGGTGATGATGTGGATGCGAGAGAAGCGATAAGACAACACATGCTTGCTTCAGGAGTGTGAGAGGTTTATCATATGCCATGTTTTTGGTACACATCGTCTGTGACCATATGAATGCCCGTACAGACATGTCAATACTCATTCCAACATAAAAAAGATTGTGCCAAACGACGAACAATTCTCAGGTTTTAGGTTCCGCAGGTCTATATAATGTTCCATGTCTCGCGGCTGCCCGTTCACGAAGAATCTTCAATCGACCTCTAGATCGAGATGGGTCCTGACATCTGACCTTTGGGCTCCACCTCTTCCAGTCCGAGAAGCGTCTTCTTCTCGCACGACCCGTTCCGCGTGTCGTCCTCCGTCGTGGACGGTAGCGTCGCCTCGGGTCGGGCGGCGGCGGCGTAGGACGGTAGGTCGTCGTCATGCTTTACCTTTCTTCCTCCCGGTTCGGGAGAAGAACTGCAGGGATGAAGCTGTATGGACAAAAGCCAGACTGGCCTTTTTCTTCTTGAGCTTCTTAAGCTTCTTTTTGGGGCCTGGCGCATCTCACAGTGTTTCACAAGTTTCTTTGCATCATGGTACCTGGTGCCCTTGGTACCTGGTGCACTCGCCGCTGCCGAGGTGGCCGCGGTGGCGGCCGCGGCTGCCACACTGTCATCCTTCTTTTTCTTCATTGCCTTCAGCACCTGTCTCAACATGCAATCTGCATCCAGAAAAGTGAACAGATCAGCATTTCTGTCTCAACTGAGCACGAGGAACATCGCGAGGAACCAGCTTGAAACGGTCCGATGCCAGCTGGAAAACGAATCAAATCTCTGCAGGAAGTATTGTATTTTAGGCCTTTCATGGCCTTTCTATTGTTATAAGGTCTTCCTGTATCTAATTACTGAGAGTCTACAGAAGCTAATAGCGGTCAGTCAGAGGGATTTTGTCCATTAAATGCCGGATATGCATATAAAGACGCTCAGGCACTTGAAAGCTTCCACGCTCTACCCCCGGCCTTCTTCGCCATGGTCAAGGTGGCTCAAAACTGCAGGTGCGTCTGAGAGGTAAAGTTGTTCAGAGTAACACCAACCAGACTCTTCAAGAGTTGTCAGTTTGACTCCTTTTGCTGTGCAGAAAACACGATCTTTCGCTTGCTGCAACTGGAATCTGACTGACTATAGGCTATAGGCAACAAGAGGCTGATAGGCTCTACGACTTTTGTGTGACCTACCACCGAATGAGCATTGTAGAATATATGTTGAAGCCATGCGGAAAATCCAACACTTTTGTTGCCAAAAGCTGGCTTAACGCGTCTGAGCCAACAAAAAAGAACATCGATCTAGATGTCCAAAAGGGACTGCCTCACACGCACGGCGCCACACGGCGCAGCCGGTCAAAGTGGCGATGCTTCGGCCTCTGACCGGTGGTTTTGGGGTGAACGAAGCAGTACAACTACCAGGTTATCATGCAGATTCTGGGTCATTTTTTTGTTGAACTCTCCTGCAAACTAACATGAAACCTGAGAATTGGTTTCGAGAATCTTTTCTCGAACTCTACAACCCAGTGGCCTTGGGGTTCCATGTGGCTCCGAATTGCAAGGGAGTAGACCTTGTCAGGAATCATACAGTAAGTCTTTCATGGTCTTTCTCTCTCTCGGATTGTTGATGGTCCTGAAGAAATGCCTACGCCCTCACTTCACATCCGGGATCTGCCCTCTTGGGCGACAGTGACAGAGGCCGAATGGCGGCCTTGTCACCGACAACGGGTGCCGATCATGAAACGAGGGCGGTGACAAGGGCCGGGGATCATCTTCAAAGGTTGTACGATGTTGGTCGTATGGAGAAGAGGCACGCGTGCAAAGAACAGTACACGACAATCACACACAAAATAAGAGCGAACTAACACAAGTGTACCTTGACCTGGATGCAAATCCTTCCTTTTTGGCTGCCTTGCAAACGGCAAATCTCATGAAACGCCCAACGAAAGACCTGAACTCTGCGAAATGGATTAAACGGAAACCGTGAGTGACTTGTCTATGTTTGCTTCACTGCGCCCGGTTTGCAACTGAGGGGAATTCCATCAGAGTTCAACTTCCATCGGCAACTGAGCAATGCTCGAGACATCGGGACATCCGTCGTTGAACGGAAGTGCCATCCGTCGTTTCTCGGTGTAAAGGTCCGGGACGTGGGAAAAAGACTCTTTACGATCACGACTGGGCATGGGTCCCAATGACCAACATCGATGTGGTGTTGGCAAATGTTACATCACAGGTTGTGGGACACAAAAAAATGGATGTACCACTGTACCATGATGTACCGATGTACCACCGAGTCTATATTATATGTCCACAGGATTTCTCTAAGTATATAGGAGTTTGAGTTAGCACATGTTTTTTTTCTTTGACCCATGCCAAGTCTTCTTAAGTGGATCGCAATGGCCCCTTCTTGGAAGAGGGCCACTTCTCAAGAGATGGCGCTCAGTCACGCAAAGCTGCCCTCATCGTCTCGGTAGGCCAAACGTCTCCCCCGGAGGCCGATTGATGGGCTGAACGTCGAACGGAAACGAAAAGCTCTCCGATAGGTGCCGGACATTCGATTTCATCCCAGCAATACATGCGGGACACTATTCCTTAGAAACTGAGAACACTGCTGAACTGCGCCAGCTTTCGTGGTCATGTGTTCGGGTCTTCGTCCAACTTTCTGGCGCCTCTAAGCGATCTATGGCTGCATCAGGAAAGCCATGAACTTCTCATAATCCACCACCTGTGAGCAACTGACGGTGGTAGTAGGCGGACCACTTCCAATTCTCTCCAAATCTGGCATAAATTAATTCATCCTTCATTAAATCTTACATCTGCAACATCTGCAAGACATTACGCAAATCACCATCATCTGATCCCATACTGGGACTCTGGGTCTTCCTGAGATGGCAAACCTTGTGGTTGATCAAAGAGCCATTCAGAGCCACCAACTAGGAGAATTTCTGCCCAGTGCACGCAGCTTCAAAGAGAATATCCCCCTCCAGCTCAGTGCACCCATTCACACGTCCAAGGTGAAAAACTCATTGTTTAAAGGTACTTTGCGCTGGCGCTTCTTGTTGGTTTGGTGCATCTTGCCAAGCAACCATGGCAAGACCATGTGGGCACTTGGCTTTGACCATAATGGGTGGAGAACGGTGCTCTGACGCCAAGTCAGGGATTGGTATCAATCCCAGGTACTTTCCATCACTAATTAAAACTCCCAACATCTCCTGTATAAACTCCACTTTTCTTGGACCATCCAGGTACTTTCCACCACTAAACATCCCAACACAGTAGAATCCACCTGTGTAGGACCTATAGAATTTCTGTTTATGGGCGGTTTCGGGTCCATGTTCCCTCCCGGGCCTCACCACGCGAAGCGCCAGAGCTTTCCACCATTTGTTCCAAAGCAGCTGAGTGGCGTCCTCCAAGGGTTCGCAACAATTCGATGGTTTGCTTTGGACTAGTCACAAGCCTCAAAGACATAACAATAGGAGCAAATCGAGCAATGCTGCAAAATGCAAGGAAACGCATCATGTATCAGAGTTGGCCTTCAAAGGGTTCTCCATAACAAAAAATAGAGCCAAACTTGAAACAAGTATTGCTGGAGACCACCACTGTCAAAGGCAAATCATCATACATACACTTTCTGGCTTGGAAGAAACAAATAACAAACTCGCTGCTGCCGCTTTCGGCCTGGAAGGATTTTCTGCAGCACCAGCATCAGCTGCCGCTTGGAGATCTGGCCACTGCTGCTACAGCTGCGGAAGCATTGCGCCACGTCGGCACCACTGGACCACTCCTCCGTCAGGTCACCGCCGCGGGTTCACGTCTCTCTGCTGACGTCTGGAGCCATTCGGTGAAGGCTGCACACTCAATTTAGCCAATCCCTCAAAGTGAAGGTTGGTAGAAATCCGGAGTTTGGGTGAAATGATCAGAATTCTGGTCGCTGGTGTTCATGTTTGTGATAGTCCATTCTCAGTGAAAAAGAAGTTGCCCTTCACCCGCCCTTCGGTCCTCCATATTGGCCAACATCCCACGAACTTGTGCCAAGGTGGAGAAGTTCGTGGTCACAAAATCGACGCAACCTGAGGCGCCACGACACGGCTCAGCCGAACCTTACGTCAACAAACCAAACCCAAACAGAACAAAACGGTCCACGGTCCCCGGGCAGACTGTGAGGAGGGAAGCAGGACAGGCGAAGGAAGGGGAAAAAACGTGGAATCGACGTGGTCAACTCTGCCTTCCGGCGGAAGGATTGGGTCAGGGAACCGGGACACCGAGCGGTTCTGGCCCACCTAAGGAATAGAAAATAGACGACTTACCTGGGAGGAGGTTCACCGGTTTGCACACCGGTTTGACGGTTTGACTTCTTTCGGGGGCGTCTTTATGCACACCCTTTTTCACTCGTCACAGTCGTCACAACCACCGGCCCGGCGTCGTCACACACCGCTGGCAGCTGCAGCTCTCGGTGCGACTCTCATCCCACGACTTCAACTCCTGGCCTCGTCCCATCCGCTTCTTCCAATCCATCTGCAAGGCCTTGGTGACTTGGGCGGCGACCTTGGAACCAAGCCTCGGTCGTCCGCGGAATGGCTGGGCGAGGCGAGGGTCCGCGGTCGGCAGCGATCCGGCAGACGAGAGGTTCAGACCGACCGACCCTGAATCACCTTGTCAGAAGGTGATTGGAGACTGCTTATTATGTAGGTTTGGAGGGTCCAAGTACCTTCTGAGGACGTACTTGGATCCCTAGGGACTATAGTTAGTTGCCAGTGATTCTCTGACCCACAGCCATCGTGACGTTGTGATTCATTTTCACCGCCAAGACAAAAGAAAGCAACGCACCACAAGACACAAGAAGCTTCCCCCCCGCACCGAGTGCCCCCCTCGCCTCTTCATGCCAACCTCTGTTCGCCAATCAGGTTCCTCGTCCACGAGGACTCCCTGCTCGGGCTTCACGAACTCCGTGGGGCCTCCACTGTTGGCACCGATGGTCGGAGTGCCACAGGCCATGCACTCGATGAAGACCATTCCAAAAGGCTCCTTTCGACTTGACTCGGGACTCATCGGGGTCATGCCAGGTCGAAGCAAAGAGCGAAGCCCATGGAACACTCACCATATGGGAATATGGGAATCTCGATGCATGGGAACCCATAACAAAACATTGACTTAAGTTAGAAACTGATAGACAAGAACGAGATAATGAATGACATGTCGTCAGAGGTCTATATCCATCATTTTCTGTTCATCAAGGCTCCTTGTAGGATGGGAACATGCCCACCTCTGACATGGAGAAGAGCTCTGCAAGTACATCTTGACCTTGGATCAAGTGTTGGGACCTCAAAGATGTGCATTGAGGCTCATTGTGCCTTTCCTTTTGAACGAGTTAAGGCTTTGAAGACCCCGGGGCACTTGTCCGTCAAGGCTTTTAGCATCCCCCGTTTACTTGGATCATGACTTCGGCAAAGCTGAAATCGCTGACAACATGCATCACTACAAGAATATTCAAACATTTAAAAACACCTCCAACCTGCGCTGGCGGTGCAGGCTCTTTCCGTTCCAATTCATGCCTTTGAACTGTTATGTCCATGGTGGTGTCCTAGTGTTCCGCCTACCCACCCTACATATTATACACCCTATACTCCAGTTACATAAAAATTATATAGCCTATATATATATAGTATAACTTAGTAACATGTTTTGTCCATTCCTTTCCTGCTTCCGCTCTATCGATGCTGTGGGTCGGTCTCAGCTCGGCCTCCCTTCCCCCTCCTCTTCCTCATCCCTCTCCCTCCCTCCCTCTTCCTCATCCGAGAGGCTTTTGGGTCCCAAGAAGACGGTTCTCTGAAGTCCCAAGGACTTCGAGAGCCCTTCGTACATCTCGATCGCCTCCGGCGGCCCGGTGCCCACGATGGCCGTGCCCAGGTCCGGGAACGTCGCCTGCGGCCGCCGGAGCGGAGCGGAGAGGGTTTGGGTGGGTTCGGTAGGTGTCCGTGGTTTCGGTGGTGTGGGGAGAACGACGCCTGGATCACGTGTGCTTTTTGAACGTGTTTGTTGATGTGTTGTCTTTGAAATATTCGGGGTGTTATGGAAGTGAGAATTACACTTTGCGTTTCTGATGTGTTTTCATGTTGTTTTCCACATGTGTTTTTTCCTCATCAATATGTTACTTTGGAACAAAGATGACAATGTGTGAGTTTGCATTTTCAATCCAGTACTTCACACCTAATTATAGCCTATGGTCCTCAAATCTTTGCTTTGTGTTTCTCAGAATGAGGCACCCTTTGTGACAGGAAGGGTTCAATGTGTTTCATGCTTTCTGCCAAAGACATCCCAATGAGCATCTTCAACTTCCCTTCTCCTCAACTTCCGTCCGAAGCCTGTCAAGACACAAAACCTTCCAAACATCCAACACATACACACAAATAAAAAACAAACGCACATCTCCTCTCATCCAAGGACAAGGTCCGCAACTCACACTCCAACAACAAACCACCGAGGAGAAGACGAGACGCGGACGCGACGCGACTAGGACGCCACGGTGACAGGCGCCTCATACTCCTTGGCGGCGTAGAGCACCGCGTCCAAGCGCTTCCAATCGGCGAATTTCCCCACGAAGGTCACGAGACGCTTCATGCTCCCCACCTTCCAACGGTCCTCCTCACGCAAGTGCTTCGACAGGTCCTGGGCCTTGGCTCCGCTCTGGCAGACTGGGTCCGGGGTGGTTGGGAGGGTTCCCCGTCTGATGCAAAGGTCAAAACACACTACAGGTGTGCTAGGTGCGTAGGAAGCTGCAAGAAGTAACACACTACACAAAAAGAAGCCGAGTCTGAAGACTTGTGCCTTTCAGACCTTCGATCTTTTCATATTTGTATCGCATCTTCCAATCCCAGTCCACGGCTTGAGTCGCCGCTTGATTTCGTCTGCCGTGCCAAGTGGCTACTTGAGTCCCTCTGGGGCAGAAAATCTTTTGGTTCACGCCGATGCGCGAGAAGACACAGTTTCCCTTGGGATAGCTGGGAAAGCAATCCAAGAACTTCCCAATGTAGTCCTCGGAATTCACCCAAACACCCTGGGTATGCCCAATTCCATTGAAGACGCCACTGCCTTGAGCTTTGGTCAGGAAGCGCATGGGATATTCTGGATCACCTTCCTTCTCCTTGATGTACATCTTCAGGGCCGTGCCATGCACAAAATTGAAATGCTTGAGCTTGGTCTTGCCCTCCTTGTGCCGCCGCTCGACGATTTGGGCCGCGGTCATGGCATTGGTGAAGGCATGGTGGGAGATGAGATAGTCAAACTCCTTGCCCTCCTTGGCCTCCACGGCATCCATGAATGCACAAATCTCCGATTCCAAACGGTCCAAGTAGCCTTGGTATTCGCGGTCGTCCATGGAATGCCAGCGATAAGAACTGTTGGGGCTCACCGACTCGCAGATCGGAATGTCGTGCTTGATCTTGAAAATGCGAAAGGTATCATCATCCTGCTTGGCTTATTTCGCATAGCGCAGGAGGGATCTGAAGAAAAAAGACTCTATACTATACGTTCGGGGATTCATTCCAAGTCGTTCAAGGCATTCCCTGCAGCTAAGCACCAGTCACAACAACACGATTCGATGGTGTCAAGTTTTCTGGCTTCAGGATTCGTGCATGCTGCATGTCCAGCAGGTGTTTCACTCAGCAAAACATGCACAAACAAATCCACGAAGCCCTTCTAAAAAACACTTCTGAGCGAAAAAACAACGATACTCCAATCATCCGTCGTTTGTTTCACCAAGAGCGACCGCAACGTCGTAGACAACGACGTGCTACGGGACCCGCAGCTCCTGAGGATCTGTCTGCACCTTGCTGGGATAAATCGAGAAGCACTTCACTCCGTCCATACCTCGGCAATCCGCACCACGAAGGAGCTTGAAACACCGCGAACAAGTCTGAAGAAAAAACACCGCAAGTTCTGAGAATGACATCTTTCAAGCTTAAGTGAACTTATATATATAACACAGGATCCTATTGCTCAAGGGCGGTAGGGGGTAGCTACATCATCCTCTTCCACTCGGCCTCTCTCTACAAGACCCTCAAAGTCCACTCCTAAGGGTTTAAATTGCCTATTTCACGATGACGCTACGCCATAGACGACTCAGAAGCGATGCACGAACGCACAGGGTGACGGCCACGGACCACCCGTGAGACTCGACTCGAAGCGAAGCGATTAGGCGACAAGGAGCTGTTCATGGTCTGATGAAAGGAGGCATGGAGAATGCCGCTGCCCGGGGCGAATTCGCCTTGCCGCTGCCAATTGTTGGTGCCAATCTGAAAGATCAGCAATGGCCTGAGGAGGAAAAGGCGTTTCGTCATGCCCAGCACAGGAGGGACGAGTGTTTGGGCGGCAAATGGTGGTTCTCTGGCGAAGGGGGCCTTTCTTCTTTTGCTCAGCTTATGGCGAAAAAGCATGTGATACACACTCAGTTCTTCTCAGCAAGATCATGAGTTGTTTTTTTTGCAAAAACAGAAACACCTCCGGAGTGCCAAGTCTTGCTGCGCCGAGGCACTTTGTCATCTGCGACCAAGTCAGCGTCTGAACGCACCACGAACGTTGAACTATAACTGGCAACCAAATGCAGCGGACACTCAATCTGAATGAACACACCGAACTTGTTGCAGCAAGGCGGGCCACCAACCAATCCAGCTGTCTACGAAAAAACAACATACATCCCAGACACGACTAATGGGACTGCCATAGGACTGCCGATCAGTTGGGGTGGTTGAAAAGGGGTCAATGTATGTAAATATGGCAGTCCCATTAGTCGTGTCTGAGCATTGGTATGTTTGTCAGATGACAACTGCGGACGCGCTGTTTCCATCTGTTTCCATCTGTTTCCAGACGCTTCACACCGACGCTTCACGTTCTCTGTACAGCTAAGGCTTGCGCAGCGATTCACGATTCGGTCACTCCGTGCCCTCCGGGGCAAGACATTCTCGAGACAGACTCGACATGTCTGTCCGGATAGAGCACCAAGCGACCGGCTGAACATAGGAAAGCTGTTAGCCAAACCTCAAAGTATTGGCGAGTAGGCTTGAGGTCGCTGACAAAAGTGCGATGTGAACAGAACTGTGAGCAATTTTCACAAGGGCATTACTATACTATAGTACTACTAGTAGCTGAGGCCATCGCTACTAGCTAGAAGCTACTACAGTAGTAGTTTGGTCCTTTCAGCATTTTCCGGTGCCTGAAGCCGCATTACCGTGGCTGGTGGCCGTGTTTTGAAGGCAATGGGCGCCCCCCTCCCCCCAGCCACAATGGGCACCTCTATGTACTAAACGGGCTTAAACATGCTTAAAGGAAAACGGCTTCGAAACAGCAATGGAAAACCAAAGTTCGAGTGTTTTGTTTCGTTTTTCATGTTTTTCGATCTTCTGGCGACTTCGATGGGTCGTCTATTTGGGACCGGACCAGAGTGAGTGGCTCGGATTAAGTAAATATAGGTGATATGGGTGTCGCGACTGGTGATGCCGCTGGGAAAACTCCGGCCAAAAGTCTGCAAATATATCAATCAACAAAACAAGGCATCCTGACCTCCACCCTTGATCACAGGAAAAACACACACATCAAGATCAGCTTACACAAGGACATGCCACATGCCTTGACCCCATGCCGAAATCATGCAAACCCCGGCTTAGCGATGAACGCTTCTCAAGCTCAGGTTCGAATTCAGATCGGAAAGACCTGCGATCGGCCGTTGCAATTCAGGTGCGCTGGACTACGATCAGCGAAGGCACCTCTTCCGGCCAAGCTGTGACGCTCCCCGATCTTAGCAAACACAAGTGACCCATGCTTCGACCGGCCGTGGTGGTGCTGCTTTGTCGTTTTTTTTGCAGCTTTTCGGGATGGAGGTCCTGTAAACATCGATGGAGACAACAAAAACCACGGCGTGGCAGCGGCACGTGATGTGAGAATTGCTTTCCTCCGCCCGGCGGAAACTGGTCACTCGTGGAGTACATCCGACTCCGCATGGAGAGCTTCTGCTCCTTGAAAACATGGCCCATATCCGATTCGATTAGGTGGGCTCTGTCAATTTGAGGAAAACAGGTACCAAGGTGGTCTCCGAGACCCTTCGGCGGTTTTCTCAGGTGTTTTGGCAAAAAAACGACATCATATGAATGAACAGCCGTCGTCACCCTAATGGCGTAGGGTTTCTGTTGAAACATTTTTATCTCGGAGACTCCCTGGAGCTTTACAGGGAAAACACTGTATTGGGCCGAGTCTGAACCCAGCAAAAGCCATCCCATCTATTGAATCCATTGGGAGGCGAATCTCTGACACCACCAGTTCGCCAGCGGGATACAAATCACAAACAATTCTCGATCCGAACCAGGATTGATCAGCGAATGGTTTTGATATGTTTTGATATTCACTTCGCCCCAAACGCTTCCCCGCTGGCCAAAACGACAGGTCCCCAAAAAGAACCTGCACACAAAAGACTGGACTCACAAAGCGATGGCAAACATGCTGTACAATGCATCAGGACCTCCTCGTCGTCCTTTTTTGATGACGGAGGACTTTTCAATTGGTCAAAGTCGGTGCAGTGGATGCCTGAACGATGCTTTCAGATGCGATCCATCATCCAACAAATTTGTTGCCCACCGATTTGATACGAAACATGCACAGTTTCAAGCAAATTCTGATTTCACAAAGGTTGCCGAAACCCGCGCCATGTGTTTTTCCGGTGCGAATTGCGGTCGAAAACCCAACCGCGCAACACAAAACACAATCCAGAGGGCCTATAAGGGAGGCCCACACGCAGCCGAACCAACAAACCAAAAACCCTCTCTTCTGCAGCCGAAGAAGCATGGCCCAAACTCTCCAAACTGCCCTTTCGCATCTCCGGCGTGTCCTCTTCCAAGCGTTCCTGGCGCCGCCGTGCGACTTGCCAGCGCGAGCGACTTGCCAGCGCGAGCGACTTCGCCGACGAACGACCAAGCGACGTGAAAAGGAACTGTCGCGAGTTCGTCGGATGCAACGGGGTGTCCACGGCGCCCCTCCAGTTGGATTTGATGGGTGACATTAAACCATGGTGACCATACACATGTTGGTAGACAGAGGAACACAGAGGACTTCCTATATTCAGATAAACACGTAGAGGAAGACAATGTTTTCTGCACCATGTTGCGTCATTCTATTGTGCCAAAAGAAACTGGTTTAATCGGCCAAAAAATGTTTTCCCCGAATGTCGTCCGCCTTGAGACGCAACAGAAAGGGATGCTCCAGAGCATCTGCAGCTGAAATTCCTGGGAAACCGAGGTGAAATTGGTATCGCTGAGCTGTTATTTGTTTTTTTTCACCAACACGTCGACAGGACCCTTGTTTCATTGCGCACTCCCACAAGGAGCCCTCACTGGCACAAACCTGGTGCAGCTAAGTGAAAGTTTGGCTCTTGTCATGGTAACTGGAACTCTGGTGCTTGCAACTGGGTCTTGATTTTGGGCAAACCCAAGATGCCCCTGAGTGACTACAACATCAAAAACAAATCTGTTGTTGCTTCATCGAGGGCGCGACCATGCAACCATACATTGATCATGCTTCCATGTGAAGATGATCAAAATCGTTAACCTCTCACTACAAACGCTTTAGGTGTCTGGAATGAACTCTAGGTTTTGGAGTTGGAAACAACTTTTGTTTTTTCAAGCTAGCTGGGCGGTGCTCAGTCCTTGTAGACTGTGCATCAAACACACATAGTTGCTTAAACCAAGTAAGTGTGTATTTATTGGCAAGTTGCCATCCATCTGAATCAGTGAAGGTAGCCCACTCTAGTGAATACAATACCCGCTGCAAACTAGACCCTGACTTGCAAACAGAATGGTCAAGGAGCCCGCGTCAACTGTATTGCTTAACAAGGGTGAGACGGAGAAGGTTGAAAAAGTTCAGGTACGTGAGTCAGGCGTCCCTGATTAATGTACAGGAAAACCATGGTGTCTTCGATGGATGCCGACCATGGAGATCCCCGGCATCCCCCATGCCTTTAATTTTTTGTGTATGTCCTTTGAAACAGGAAGCGACACACGCACACACACAGAGCCGTGGCCCGGCGCTCGGAAAAGTTTCCGTGGAAAAACGAGATGTGGATGGTCCAGGATCACGAGCACCTAAATAGCCACCTAACAAGCCTTAGGAAGAAAGGAAAGAAAGACAGAAAGAGCAAGAGGAAAAAGGCAAGAAGGAAAGATAGGGGTAGAGGACCACACATCTCTGTCCGGAAACCGACAAAAGCGGCGCGCCACTTTAATAGCCACCCAACAAGCCTTAGAGAGAAAGGAAAGAAAGACCGAAAGAGAAACCGAAGAGGGCAAGAGGGCAGAGAGGTGTAGCGACGAGGCCCACTAGTTATGAAAACTTTTAGTTACTGATTACTTAGCAGTATGAATTAAACGCAATAGTTAGCGAGCGGGACTTTAATCTTAGACCGCCCGGGTAGCTAGGACTAGGACAGGAGAACAGAAGGAAAGGCACCTAGATAGCGGGTGGGATAGCAACAGATTAGGTGCAAGGAGGTAGGGGGGAGGGTGGGTTGGGGTGGCCCGAAGGCACTGCCGTCACCGGCGCTCTAGCAAAGTCGTAACCGGCGCTCCCTTGACTGAAGTAAATCCTAGGTCTTCCTCCCTCATCATCTGTTTGGATTCTGGTCTGCAAAGAATAAAGATGGATAAGCTACAAAATGAAAAACTTTGTCAGTTCAGGGCGCGGATAGTAGTGAGTAAATGAGAGCAGCGTTTAGTTTTGCTGGCATGTCTGTAAGATATATAGACATATCTGTTTGTATGTATGTTGCTTTGCGTCATGCCAATTTGTGAGCGCACGTCAGCATGTCTGCACACATGCAAAGTTTAAATTTACGTTCATGTATCAGCTCTCAAGCATGTGTGATATGTCTGGCTTATGGCTGTTAAGGGCTTGACTGAGTCACAAAGTCTATGTCAGGCGTGTGTTGTGGCTACTATTTGCTCACCTGGTCTGACCACAAAGGCCCAAGCATGGGTAGCGCGCACACTGCCCTCACGAAGCTTCTGCTGTCAACGCAGGTTGGGGAATGTCCAACGACAATGAGTCAGCGTCTGCTACCAAAAGTGGGCGGACTGTAGTGTATTACACGACGTTACTTAGGCTGTCCATCCTCGAGAGACTATAAGGCAGGCCTGTTAGGATGGTGGCTACCTATAACGCAACAGTCAGACGTCCTTCCCTCGCAGCCAAGGAGCAAACAGCAAACAAACCCAGCAAACAAATGACTGACAGAACAAAAATGAAAGCAGGCTGTCTTGGGCGGTTTACTCGCAGCTGCTTGAACCAAATCACAATCACTAGGCCCCTGAGCACGCATCCGAACCTAAAGTTCTAAGTTCAGCGTCTCCAGGTGGGAAAGAGTTGGTCTAGCTTTGCCTAGACAAGTTCAAGCGCATGGTGCATACAGTGCATACGCATGTTTTGCTTCAATAAGCTTTAGCTCAGGATCTCAAGGAAGTTGGCTCAGGATCCAAAGTGGAACTCCTAGCTATGGTGGTGGCGGAAATGCTTCCGTACAGGGTGCCGAAAATGGCAATTTTGGCATGGCTG